AAATTACTGACAGCTAATGGGGATCCAAATAAATAAACAAATAAACACTGAGTTCTTATATATGAAAATAAGAACTCAGTGTAATTACATCACATGAACGTTTTCTTATTTTCAGTTAACCAGAGAGAGTATTGGTGGGGAGCATAACTGTTTTCCAAGCAGTCAACCACAGTTTGATTCCTGGCCAATGCTGCAGGTGTTTATCTGTTTAACAAAGATTTAGTTACATTTTTAAAGCAGCAAGATGTTTTTTTTTTCCCTGACCGGGAATCGAACCTGGACCGTGGTGATAACGAGGAGATGACGTAATGCACAGCACAGTACAGCATCTGTCCCTGAGATATATACGCAGACCCGCGTTGAGCCTGTTGGTCCGTTGCAGCGAAACGTCAGCACGTCCGCCATCTTGGATGTGGCAGAACTGCCCGTAAGGTAATAAAAGAAAACGGACTGAACTCCATATAGGCCATAGGCTGAAGCCTGTATCGTTAAGTTTCGCTCCACTTATTGAGGGACTACTAAATGACACCTGCAACAAAATCCTTAGTGCATTTTGAGCTCATAACCAAAAGTTCTCCAATCGCTTTGCGCCAGTATTTTTACAATAATTACTTAAAAATGTAACTATATCGGTAGCCTGATCACACCGGCAAAGTACGCTCGAATCAAGCCGCCTAGCCGTTAGCCAATCAGAGCGCGTCCTTCAGGTGCGCTCTCCCATTCAGAGGCGAGAACAGAAGAACAACAACAAACATGGCTGCTCCCATGGAGCAGCGCGTTTCCGTTGATCAGACAAAAAACGCAAGAAAAATGAGGATTATATATGCATCACACACATATAATCGGTAGACAAAGAACGGACACAGCCACTAACAGTTGTTCGTGGAAGAAGCTGGTCGTATGTGCCCGTAAGTGTATTGACGGAATTGACCGCACGTTGGCGGAGGGACACAAGACAAAGAAAGGTAAATTGGTCCAAGCAGAAACTATAAATATTGGTGATTAGATAATTTGCAGACAGCATCTTTGCTTGTGGCTTATAATCAAAAGCAAAAGTAATACATTTGTTGTTAAAAAAAAAATGCATGTGTAATTGGTGCCAGCCCTAGCCTTCATTATGAAGTAGGTGTATGAAGGCTATGTGTAGGGCCTCAATAATAATAAAAGGCATTATTATGAACTTGAAGTGATGATAGGCAATTAATTGATTCGTCAAATAATGGTTAGATTTTAAATTTGTCACCCAAATACCAGTTCAGTCTGGTAAAAGAGAGAAAATGTATTTGATATTATTTGTTGGCAGCTGGTTTATGATTGAACTTTAACTCTCTATTTGCTAGGGAGTTTGGTTAAAGAAGCTGAAGTGAAAATGGACAAATCCATCCTCAAGGATGTACGTGGAAAAGATTGTGTCGCAATTGAAGTCCGGTAGCACAAACGGTGCTACAAAGAAAGTTCAATTCAATTCAATTTTATGTATATTGATACTAATGATAATGATAGGAGTTATGACAGAAATAACACTATGCAGAGTAGTAGCAGAGCAGGAACACGGAGCAGCAGGAAACTCCCAATCACAGATCCAGCTTCCACAGCTCTAGGAACACCTGCAGGAAGTGATAGGAGGAGACTCCTATCCCTCCTATGATTTTGATGATTCATAGTTTCTTTGTATTTTCTATTGTAATTCTCAAGTCGTAACAACCCGAAGTGATCCTAAAAAGTTTAACATCTCAAGGCTTGCTGGGTCCAACAAAAGTAATTGTTTAAAAACAGAGATGTCTTTGTGCCTTCTTTAATTCCCTGTACATTTCCATATTAAGTCTTGCCTCAGAGGAGTGAATTCACAACCCTCGGGTTAGCTGATTGAAACCATTTCATTTCTGAAAACCAATTTGAATATTTGTCCATAGTTAACTGAAGTTTGTAGTAAATGTGAAAAAAAAACAATCTTGTAACTTATAAATAAGAGTTCATTTTTTAATGTTGTGATATTAATACTTTCCATTGTTCTTATAAATAATCAATAATTATGATTATTATTCTTCCTATTGTTATGAGGCATCTGAAAACTTTACCCCTTTTCAAAATCATGTTATCATTGCTATTGCCATTTGTCAATAGTTACTGGAGTTACTTTATAAATGGTTAGAATCGGTCTTTATAATTATATATGTACATGTATAAAATTTGGGAGATATCAACTTTGGCATACTTAGTGCTTGGTAGAATTGTTCAAAAGTAATTGAAAAATTATATGTAGGCTTCTTATTCTCTTTCAGTTTCTCTGAAGATGATTAATTCTCTCTGTAAATATTCATAAATGTTGCAACAAACAGAAGAAGTAACTCTTGTTGGTGTGGGGATGGAGTGGTGGTGGTGGTGGTGGGGGGGGGGGTTGTTACTATTATTTTTGTTATTATTTGTTCATTAATTCCATGATTGCTTAAGTTGATATCAGATCCATTGAATAAACAGTATAAATTTACTTGAAGATTCTTCTAGTTTTTATTGTTATTTCCGAAAATTTTGCTTCCAATATTGTAACTGGTCTGCTAGGTGATAAAATTCACACCACTTTAAATAGTTATTAATTAACCAGACACAAAGGGATATCTTGCAATTAGAATTTTTCAATTGAAAATTCAAAGAATTGCAATTTTCATGTGCAATAAAGATACATTTTGGGAGATTGTGAAGTTGTTCAAAAGTGTATGTTTTCATTTAGAATAACTCCGTACTTAAAGCACGCAGAACATTGCCGCTTTAGAAGCTCAGAGCAAGTATGAATGTCTGTGGGAATTTAAAATTTGAGTACGATCGGCTTAATAATAAAAAAGTTACAAGGGTTTGAAAATGGTAAAAGACCCAAAATCGTCACTTTTTTGGGTAAACTGCCACCTTTGGCACCCATTTTCTCAAATACTGGCAGGAATCCCATGGAGAACTTTTTTTCCCAGCTCCAGTACATATTCAAGATTGGAAAAGTGCTATCGAAAAGTAGTCCCCAGGATAGTGGAGCGAAATCCTATTTCTAGCCACATTTTGAGCTTCAGCCTATGGCCTAGAAGGGCCCCCAGACCACCACCACTGGAAACTCTCAGCTGCAAGCTTTTGTTCTCTGTTGCACTTTTGGCTTACAGGGTGAGCCCCAAAAGAAGACAGTTTGTCAGCAGGAGACATTTTACCCCACATCCATGTTGAGTCTACTGAGTCTGAAAAGCATTGATCGCACAATCACCTTGAGACGGGTGGGTTTTCATGGGTTTTTACTGATGGAATCATTTGTTGTACACGTGGGAATCAGGTCAGAAGCATCATCAATCACCATAACTGAAACAGGAAACAGAGTATGTCATGATTTAACTAAATCTGATGTTACAGTGTCATCAGCTATCTGTAGCTCCACAGACTCGAACACTTGTCACAAATATTATTGACCATCCATTCAAAACGTCTCGTGGACGTGGACATTAGAAATTCTGTTTCTAAATGTCTTCCTGTATTTTTTTTCTCTGTGTGAGCAGTCAGGTCGCTGAGAGAACAGCCCACCTCCTTTTAGTGGGTACTGTGACACAGTTCACTTACTTAAATTACACTGACGGAGTCCTGCTGTGCCCACAAAGATGAGCTTCACAGTGATTCTGGCTTTACTCTGCACCTTCAGTAAGTACACCTATAGATATACATATATAATCCACGTTTTGTGAACAGCACAGAAATGCACTTTATTTGGGTTCTTGTTGAATTTTAACTTTCTGCGTTCATCATCTATTTCGTTATTTCAGGTTGGGTGTCTGTGTCGTTGTCAGAGTTTCACTCCGTGGAGGTCCAGCCTGGTGAAGAAGTCACACTGATGTTGTTGTGGAGAATTTTCTTTTGTTCCTTTGTTAAAGCTACTGTTGTTGATTCCTTTAGGGAGAGTCGTCTCACACGTCTGGAGACTGGTTTTAGCACCACTAGGAAATGCAACAATTTCCTTAATCTC